CTCCGATGGCTGTTGACTGAGAACATAAGCAATCAAAGTGTAATTGTGTTAAATAAAGTAAATAACGTAAATAACTTATGAAATAAACTTCAAATGAAAACTATAAAGAGAAACATGGGAAAAACAAGATAGTTCTAAGCACAGAAAAACAAAATTATGTAATTCTACAAAGAAAAAGAATTAGGTAATGCTACAAAACAATTTCATTTAGCTGAATCTTTTCCAGTCATTATTGCAATGCAATTAAAAGTGAGATTCCACTTAAAGTTACGAGACGATGAGGTGGGTACAGTATACGCACGGTAACAATGTAACAGCATGACTGAGAGCGCGGAACGGCTATACACCACCGCCTTGGGGAAGATGCTGTCTGCCTTACGCCTTGCTCCGTGGTATTCATCTACAACCTCAACGCGCTGGACTACTTACACTTATGTAACTAAGGCAAACATTTCCGCATGTAGATATTTTATTTACATAATTTATGGGAGCATTTCCGTAAGGTTGGATTTCCATAAGTCGGGTCTTCCGCGACCCGGGGACTAACCGTAATGTATGTGGCCAGAGGGAATTCCTGTCACACGCCACCTTGAACAGGAAACGGCTCCAAATCCTTGTCACGCAGCATTTGCCAGGCCTGCCCAAAATCATAAAAATCCTTAATGAATGTGAGCAGAGGAGCAGCGATATCGAAAACAAGGAACAACCAAAAGCCAAAGACTCTTCATGGTACTTAGGCCTTGATTCCATCAATAAAGCAGAGATCTAGTTTCTGATAAAACAAATCGATACATTTTTGCTGTAGCAGATGAACAGAAAATACAGGAGACCTTTATATATCACGGAGTTTACGTTCTTGAAACGTGCCAAGAAAGCCAAAACGGCGACATTCAATACTTAAGCCTTACCTAAACAATGAGGTTAGGTAAACGGCAACCAAAAATACGCATCACAATTGAATTAAGCACTGTACTACATGCCACCTTAACTAAAAACAAAACAATTGAAATAAACAAGAAACTCTATAGAAAAAACATTCCAAGACAATAAATAGGATTATAAATACTGAATACTCAACTTACAATGATGACGATGTGTGTGCGTGAGTGAAGAGTGGTAGTGCTTCGGTTAGCGTGCTGCGATATGAACCCAGCGACCAAAGTTCAATTTCCGCTCATGCCCAAAACCATGACGATTATCTGAATTGGCCCTGGGCCTTCCCAGGTCGACTCAACCTCAAATAAGTACCTGGTGTGTTGTGGAAACATCGCCACTGGGGAGACAAAGGCAGCCAGGAATGGTGCTCGTAACCTATCCCCTTTGTGTGCCGTGCCGACCTTTATAGGTGCTACTTGCGAATAGCACTTGCCCTAACAGTCTGTTAAGGCTAAACGCTTGCATGGCAAAGGTTGAGGTGCCACCGATTTCTTCGCGTTCCTCACCCACCCCGCCCTCCTTCCCAGAACAGTATACCCACGTAAGTGTAAATTGGTATGCAAAGAGGTTTCCCGTGATAGGTCGAAGCTGCAAAAAATAAACCCATTATATTCAAGGATCTACTATATGACATTTGTGCAGAACTGCCCTGGCCTGAAACCACAAAGGGGCTTTTGCAAGCTTCTTATCTGCCGGTCTGGCAAGCTGAATATTCATTATCTGGCAATCAGTGTGGTCGAGCATTAGATCTTCGTCCAATCCAGCAGAGATCATCGTTTAGTCCATGTTGTTGTAATAATGATCTGTATTGCAACCTGTGTAAAATTACCACCCTCTCTAAGCACCTTCCTTTGGAAGTCCATTTTGTCCTGAACTAAAACTGCTCTTAATACTCTGAGTTGTCCAAGCCGTGTAAATATCACCAATCACAGTATTCTGGGTTCACACTTTGTCACCAGAAGGTGCACCAGCCAACCACTGGCCGAGTGTGGTCACTTCCTGGAATATTTAAGGCATAGCAAAAGCAACAAATACATATCCACAAACACACACATTAAAATACACAAACCCGTGTGTTAGCTACTCAACACGTTAACACACTCCCAAAACACGCTATACAAAACCAGTAATACTAACAGAGGCTAAAAATGCAAATAAAACAACAAAGGAAAGTGTTAACTTACACTCGCAGTCAAATAAAATACATTAACACACATGAGCATATTCCAATGCACACACATACACACAGTTACCCGCAACAGACCCCCAATATAACCTTAACAATAAGTTCAAGAGTGGGTGTATGGCCAGCACCACACCCGAACGCTTTTGTTTCCCCAGTGGCGATGTTTACACACTGCACCAGGAACTCATTTGAGGCCGAGTCGATCTAGGGGAGGCCCAAGTCTGGTTCAAATAGTCACTGGTGTTGGTGGTGGTGAGTGGGAATCGAACTCGTGTTGCTTGGTTCGTAGCACAGCGCGCTATATGTTACCTTACCGCACACAACAACAGCCACCATTCGCCACGAAGTGAGCTATACCAGTGTAGAGGTGTAATTGTAAAGATGTATGGGCACGGATGGGTAACAAACACAAGGGGCGTGGTTAGGGCCGTACACAGAGGAGGTGCTCACACCGACGTCCGCACCTGCATCCCCCACGGCCCCCCCCCCCCCGGGGGCCGATTGCTATAAAAGGTGGTGAGCCGGAGGGCTCGAAGTCGAGTGTTAGCTTTAACCAGCGAGGAGTGAAGACCAGCTAGAATAGGCCCCGGAGCTCCCCTGGCTCGCTGTCCTTGTCAGGACCGACCAGGGCAAGCCGGTGGCGTGGCCCCGAGAGCCCAGACTGACGTTCTTATAAGAGCCGGTCTGGAGACTCCGGGTGCCGGGATCCCAGCTTGACCAGGGCTGGGATAGGTAGCCTCCCCTAGCTCCGTAGTGGAGGACCCGGGCGTAGGTTAGCGGGGTTAGACATTGGGTTCTCCCTGTTAGACGGGTGAAGGGACCGATACCCCTTCAAGTGCTGTGTATTCCCGTCGCTGTACATAAGTTGGTATTAATAAATAAGTGTGCCTCCAACTACGTCGTCCGAGCCTCCTGCAACTTACTACACCAGTATGAGTGCAAGGGAACCCACACCGACTGCAGAAGCTACCGGTCAAACTGCCTCCTCTCCCAGTTCCAGAGAGGATTTTGCCCACGCATTGCAAATGTCACCAATCACAATATTCCGGGTTCACCACTCTGGCAAACTGTAGTGGCCACTGTGATTAGTAAGACAATCAGAGTTTTTGAATATATTTAAGTCTGTCTTTAAAACTCACCTCTGTAAACTGGTCTTCAATCTCCGCCTAGTTTCGCCGATTACCTGAGCGAGTGGTTGAGTGATTGCATCACCGAGTGGGTGAGGTGACTGATTGAGTAGGGAGTGGGTCATCCAGTGAGTTAGTGATTGAGTTAGTGGGTAAATGATGCTTTACCCGCACTCGAGTTCTGGCTGTTTACCCTGCAGCGTGTGTATATTTTGTACTTTTGATACACGGCACGGACTGGTGGGATCCACGGATAAATTGCAGCACTTTACAAATGCTAATTGTATTATGAATATTGCAGGGATATTATACATACAAACATGCACCAGATGCTTATATATAGATGTTAAAGTAATTTTTTCTCACGTTATTTTTCACGAATAGGCCATTGTGTACTGGCGTCATGGTTGAAATGTATGATGATACAACTATTTTGATGAAAGAAAAGGCTTGAACCATTTCGACAATGAGACAGGTGTTAAGATCAGAATCTTTAAAATCAGAATCCGTCTTATGGAGGAATGTCACAGATGTCCAGTTGGGGCGGGTGAGAAAATTACAAAAACGAACATGGTTGGTTACGTACGGTGTGAAAGAAGGTCAACTGACATACAAAAAACGATAGGAGTGCAAAATAGATTAAAGGTAACCAATTCACACAAAAATTTATAGAAATGAATAAAGCACAAAATTAAGTCTGCATTAACCACACATTCTTGTGATATATTTTACCACAAACATCAAGTCTGTATTTACCACATGATATATTTATTTACAAGGCGATTTTTCCGTCGAGTTGCTCTTTATTTGACTTGTTATTAAACCATTGAACTATCCGAAAAATCTGCGACGTGAATCTGATTGTCTGTGAGTCTGTAGGTCTATGTGTGAGTCTATGGGACTGTGCGAGTCTGGGTCACGTATAGTTTTTTAGCATCTCAATGCTGCCAACTATAACCTCATTTAAACTGGCTATTTTCGATTTAAAGCTTTCGTGACTGCAGTGATTCATCTTCTTGGTTTTTTCGGTAGTCACGTAGAAGGAAAATAATAAAATAATAAAACAATTCTCACGACGTTTCGGCCACAACGCAAGCAGCTGTCTTCAGGTGGAGAACAGGTCAGTCGAGAAGGCAGACACACTTTGAGTCTCTTTACTTCAGTTCAGGAGCGTCCTGCCGAGTTGGTTTGGCAGTCGGGGGGAGGGGCGATGCTTATTCGCGTATTCCAGATTGAGTAAACTTGTTCAGCATTGCAATATTTGGACGATACCAGTCCAGAAGTTTATTTCAGGGTCAGAATAAGTTTGTTTCCCGAGTGAAGTCCATTGAACTAAGAAGCTTATTTTTAAGGGCGACTGAGCCGGCAGACATCAAGCTCACTCACTGGCCCACTCACTCATCCGTCCACTCATCTCCTCATCCACCCTCCCACCCACCCACTCTAGAACTCTCTCACTCATCCATCCACTCGCCCACACAAGCAGTCACCTAATCACACACTTTCTTACCCTCGCACTCACCCACACTCATTGGCCACTCACCCACCCAATAACAATCAGGCGATGGCAGGAGGCAAGGCCAGCATGGCTAGGCCACACTTTGTAACGTTCCAACCTGGACATCGATTCCATACTCGCTGCTACACTCAGTGATATCCCGAGGAGAACAATAGAAGAAGCGAGGCTGCACCTCAATAAACAAAAACCACCACCAAAAACCACGACCACCACCACGATGTGAACTTCTCACCTCGGATCTCAGTTGAATGGCGAGCAGCTTTTCGGGATTTCATGACGTCACGCGGCGGGGGAGATGACATTACGTCACTAGCGAGTTTACACCCTCCCACTGAATAAATTATGTTCATGAATTAGGCCCTGACATTGAGTCTTTGGGCGTGGCTGCTGAAGTGAACACAATGAACTCGCGACAGATTTAATGGTTAATGACATTTATGAAGCAGGCCCTTATTAATGGGAGTGATTGCGCGTGGCTTTGCCTAAATTATGATTTTACTGGTTACATGACGTCACTAGCGGGGTACACACCCCCTAGCGTCTCGCCACGATGACGTAACGTGGAGTGGTAAAGTGAGAGGGCGAGCAGGGTGAGGACTGGGATTCGATTTTGACTGCAGGAATTCACACAGGGTTATTATTAATATTATTATACAGGGTGGCCAAAAAGTGCGGACCCATAGGGTTTTTAGACAGGGTGGCCCAAATGTCAGGACACACAGGATTATTATGTAGGGTGGCACAACAGAAAACACACAGGATTATTATACAGGGTGGCCCAAAAGTCATTATAATACAGTTTGATCAAATCGTCATTGCACATTAAGGTTATTATAAAGGACTAGCGGGATGTACCCGGCATTGCCCGGGCGAAAAAGACACACATCGACTTAGACACACACAGACATCGACCCACACACACAAACACATCAACTTACACACACACATATGGAGTCAAACACACACGTCGACTCACACACACACATCGACTTATACACATGGATTCAAACACACGTCGACTCACACAGACACATCGACTTAGAGACACACACAGCCATCGACCTACACACACAAACACATCAACTTACACACACATAGACTCACACATCGACTTACACACGCACACACATGGCGACTGACACACACAACAACCGCCATTCGCCACTAAGTGGCGGCGACGTCACCACGACGCTTGTGCCAGGCCATGTGCACCTTGAGGCCACGTGAAGTGTCGAACGCCCGCTGGCAGGAGGTCACGGGGCAGACCCAGCAGGTGCCACGGGTCGACTGACTGAGATGACCGAGATGACTGGCTGATGCGCCACCTGTGCCCCCTACTGTACCAACTTGCTGTGCTTTATCCACCCGGCGCTCCGCTCGTTGTTGTGAGCATCGCTCCTCCGCCCTCCGTTGTTGTTTGAGGGCGACTGCCTCCAACTGCCCAGGTAGCGTCCTTCACGAGCCTGCTCCACAGAGGCCGATCTTGACACCGCTGGTACCAGTCATCGGCAAGTCCACTCAGCTCCACGTCCTCCTGTACCATGTCACTCCATCTCTTCTCTAGCCCGTGCCGCGCCCGTTTAGCCCCCTCGATCCGGCCGAATAAAAGCTGTTTAGGCATGCGGTGGCTGGGCATGTGGGCTACATGACCCAAGTGGATGTGACACACATCCACTTGCACACACACACACACGGACTTACACACACAGACATCGACTTACATGCACATTTTAACTTTTCTATTTACTAACTCAGTTTTTAAAGATTAGTTTTCTATGGACGTCATGTTAGGGAAAGAACCAAGGAAGAGAAAATGAAAACAATTGTTAATGCACCTTTGAACCAGTGCACTGTAATCAAAGATGAAGGCCATACTTAACTTGTATGATATGCCTTTGTCTTGTATTGAATCCTATGAGTCATAAGTATATGGTTAATGGTATAAAAAGACGTATGTACTGGAGTCTTTATTACTGTAGTTTTTTTTTATAGTGCTGTAGTAAGGTTCTTGAGGAAACGCAGACAATTATGGAGGCAGGCAGGAGACTTGGGGATGGAGCGATGAGATGTGGGACAGCGAAGAAGCCGCGCTGCAAGAGCACTGGCACGAACAGTCGCCAGCAGCCAGGCCACCGAAATGGTGGCCAGCAGGCGCGGGTGCAGGCAGGAGACCCGGGAAGGAAGCGATGTGAAGGCCGCACAGGGCAGCGGTGTGTGGGCGCGGCTCAGTGAGCACCCGCCGACAGCCGAAATTACCCCCAGCAGGCATGGGGTCAAGCAGCACACGTGCAAGAGGAGTCGCGCTGTTGTATATGTCGGGTCTTGAAAAATTTAATAATAATAAAGAAATGACAGTGGGGAAATGTGTAATTATCAAAAATTCTGGTAATTTATTTAATTATGCACGTAATTTATGCTAATTATTGAGGTGTAATTCTTTGTCTATTAACCTTGTGCCATTGCATAGTCTAGGTGGGTGCAAGTTTCTCAATAGCAAGACAGGCGCCCACATTTTTTGTAGTAAGTTGTATGGTGGAACACCCGGGAGCTGCGGAGAATTCAAGAATTCAACTGGATAGTAAACAATTTGATCATGGTCCAACACTGAGTCAATAGATTTGTAGGACTTGCTCTATTTAGGTAATTTGTGCAACAACATGCAAATTATTTTGTGAACAGCATCATTTCTTGGAGCCAAAATGGCCCTCTCCCGTAGCCAGATAACATCTTCATAGTGTTGTTGCATGTTTGGGTAAACTTTTTCCTCCAGTTTCTGTTCCGAAGTGGAAAGGATGCCTTTAGACATGGTCATAAGTCCATCTGTGCCGTCAGCAAGAATACTGCCATTTCCAATATCAAGAAGAGCTTTAGCAAAGTTGCCTGCCTCTTGGTCTCCATGGAGATATACACTCATGTTTGTAGTTAGTCTCAGTTTCATCACGTGCCTCTATAGGAATGATGACTTGATGCAAGCATTTAACTCATCAGCTTTGGTTCCTTGAAGTACAACAGGTAAAGTTTGTCAGAAGTCACCAGCCATGAGAAAAGTTACACCACCCATAATTCTAGATTTGAAGCTTTCGTGACTGCAAGGATTCATATTCTTAGGTTTTTTCGGTAAAGTCACGTAGGTAAAACATCAAAATTAATGAAAATAAAATAAAACAAAAATCACGACGTTGCCTCCGAAACGTCGTGATTTTTGTTTTATTTTATTTTATTTTCATTAATTTTGATGTTTTACCTACGTGACTTTACCGAAAAAACCTAAGAATATGAACCACCCATAATGCTGGAATTGTCGCGGAGGTCCTGCAAAGTTGTGTTGACAGCCTCAAATGCTCCCTTGTGGGACATGGTGCATTCATCCCACACTATTAATTAACAATTAAGCAGGACTTGTGCAAGGGCAGTCCCCTTTGAAATATTGCAAACAGGGTTTTTTTGTCGGGAAATATCCAATGGAAGCTTAAATGTGGAATGGGAAGTTCTTCCTCCAGTAAGCAGAGTTGCCGCAATCCCCGATGATGCCACAGCCAAATAAAATTTCTCCCTCTGGCGAACCTTAGCCAGGAGCAGGTTGAGAACAAAGGTCTTCCCAGTACCACCAGGTGTATCAAGGAAAAATATGCCTCCATTTTCTTGGTTCTTTCGGTAAAGTCACGTAGAAGGGAAGTAATAAAATAATAAAAATAAAACATAATAAAATCGATAAGACAGAGTCTATCGACAGACATGTTCTTCACCTGAGGACGGCTGCTTGCGTTGTGGCCGAAACGTCGTGAGAATTATTTTATTATGTTTTATTTTTATTATTTTATTACTTCCCTTCTACGTGACTTTACCGAAAGAACCAAGAAGATGAATCCCTGCAGTCACGAAAGCTTTAAATCGAAGTTATGCCTCCATTTTTAGACTCAATGTCTTCCAAGACTTTTGTGTAGGCTTCTCTTTGTGCATCCGTCAGCTTTGGTTCATTTTCCTCAATACATTTAAGAAGGTCTAAACCATCATAGGATATTTCACGTAGGATCTCTTGAGCAAGGGCATGCAGGTTGTCCCTGTAGGGTGTTGGTATACCGTCACCAGCTTAAAAAGCAGGCAACAGGCCACATTACAGACTGCCAGTAAACTGTCCCATCTTCATGAAAAGGTGTACAGTCTACATAAGAGACTGCCAGTAGACTCACCTAACTTAATAACCAGGCAACAGTGGCCAGTATAGACTGCCAGTGCACTGAATACGATCAAGAAGCAGGCTGCAGTGTACATAAGTAGAAGTTTAGTAGTTTAAAATTGTTATTGTATTTGTAATAATAATAATGAAGTCAAATTAAAGATTCCATGACATTTGGTCTATGTACGTGACGGTAACGAAAGTAGCAATGTATGTGTAGCAGCATTGTTACGCGCAACATGTGTACTTACCTGCATAGCAGTATTGTATGGGTCACGTACACTCACCTCTAGTGGCGCCCTCAGTGTGTAGGGGGCGCCGAACAGCCAAGGGGGATGTTGAGTGACAGGTGTACGACGCACGACTATAATAACCGTTGACCCGAGGTGAGGGGGCCAGAGCCCACTGAGGGAGTGGGCTGGGGGGGGGGTGCAACAGTCAGACCCATACCCTCTCGAGAGAAGGCGGTTGGGAGAGAGGAGTATATCAAGGGCAGCTCTCCCAGCGTGAGTCAGTCCGCACTCACCTCAAGACCTGAAGACATCTAGATAGCGCCCTGGGACTTCAGACCCCCGGCCCTTGTCAGGGCCAGGTCCAAACGGCCCAGTGGCGGCACCCGTTACCCTGGCAAGGTTGGGTGAGCATAGCCTCCCCTAGGTCCCTTAGTGGAGGAATTCCCGATAGCAAAATATAGTGGGAGGGCACACTAAGTGTGAGGACGTATCCTTTAGGCCAGGGGTCGGGAACCTTTTTGACTGGGAGAGCCATAAAAGCCAAATATTTCTAAATATATTTCATTGAGAGCCATATAGTATTTTGAATGTATAATAAATTAAATATGTCTTACTTTTAATGCGACTTCTGGTGCTGCATGGTTTTGCTGACGGCCTTGTAGTCTAGTTCATACGTGGTGTGGTTGAGCTTCATGCAGGCGTGACCCGTGAAATTTATCTTCAAAACTAATTTCTGTTTACTTTAAAATGACATAGTATTATTAAGCAATATCACAAGTATTTTTTTAAATCAGTTCCAAACTGATTTTTTTTATTCTTTTTTCAACTCAAAATTGGCTGGGAGCCATATGCAGTCACTGGAAGAGC